TAAGGGATTTATATTGTACATAAAGAAATATATTACCTGTCATTTTAGTTATCTTTAGAATATTCAGAGCTCTTTTGAAAAAACAAAATAAATGTGTGGAATACAAGTGTTCTGTAAATCTTTTCAACCGATGGGGGAAAGACAAGTTAGGTTTCCAAATTTATACCCCCATTACATAGTAAATCTCAAATTATGTTCATGGCCATGTGACTTTCTTACAGAATTTCATTGCAATTATACAGTGTTTTTCAGAAAGAGAAAAGGAGGAAGTTTATGGCAGTATTTCTATAAATTGGTGCTTTGACCAGATAATTATTTCTGCCTTAAAAGTAGCTTAGAAATTGTGTCAGCTTGGTGTTATTCACATATATATTATCATTAGTTTTTCATCATAAAGCAACCATAATTTCAAAAGTTCTTTTAAAAACCATAAATCAATATAGCTATTAAGTATTGAAGCAGGAACAACTAAAATATTTGTTACTTGTTGCTTTCCATTCACATTTTGAGTTAGAATGAGTGAACCCCATGTCACGAATGTTGTATTCACATGCTGTCCAAGGAAGAGAGATTTAAGGACCATGGATTCTTTTACTTCTGGGGCATAGCTTTCATGCCTAAAACACGTAGTGGTTCTCACTTTTAATTCATTTTTGCAATGCAATGCAACGCAACATAGATGCAAAGGATCTCTGCCAAATTCTCCTCCATGAAGACTCATTCCAAGGTGTAGACTCACTCAGTGCAGAACTGAGTGTCTTGGTACGTGGCGTTTCTCTTTCCACCTTCCCCTGCGTCTCCAGAACAAGGAAATCTCCCGGATGGCTCTCACATCCCTATGTGCTAGGTTGCATCAGGCATGGTCAAGGCTGAGAAGAAAGCTTTGTAATCCTCAAATGTGGTGTTTGGTACCCAGTTGGCAGTTGAGAAATGTTCCTGAGAGTTGACTGAACTCAAAGTTGCGCTTGCTGTGTCTCTCCTCAAACCCCAAGCTCCAAACTCCATCTTTCCCATTCAGGTGTGAAGGTCTAATCAAAGCACTGCTTCTCATCTGCATAAGAAAGAACATCAAAGCCTTGACATCAGAGCACTGAAACCTCTTCCTAGCTTCCTGAGGATTTCAGGAAGCCCAGCAAATGTTGTTTCAGGTTATTGTATTTAACTCATGGCCATGAGTTAAATGATTTCTGATAGAGATGGCTGTTTCATAGATGGAGCTTTTGATTCGCTCTTTCTTGTTACATTAGTTTTGCAACTATCATATTTAAAGACAGGTATAATCTCTAAGTTGAAATCCACTGAATCCACCAGGAATGTGGATGTAAGCAGACATAAATTAATAAGAAAAAGTTAACAAGTAAGGAAGAACTGATTTCTCCTCTCTACCAACAGAAGTTAGTAAAAGGAAGCATTCTTTTCTCCTAGAGCATGAAAGATAAATCATAGTGCTTGGTTTCCTTATGAAAAGGAAGATTCAAGTTGAATAATTAAATTCTCATCTAATATTAGTAAGTATTAATGAAATATTGTTAGAGAGCAATAATAGCTATCTGTCATGCGCCAGGCACTATAACGTGTGTGCTACAAAATGTATTCAATATGAATGTATTATAGGGCGTAATTATGATTTACAGATAAGAGAAATGTACCTCAGAGAGGTTAAGGAACTCATGCAAAGATACACAGCTGGCAAAGTCCAGTTAGCATAATAAACCAGAGATGTCTGACTTAAAATAACAGGGAATGATTGATATTTTATTGACATAAAGACTGATATCCAGGGAAACCCAGCTAACCTAAATAGAAAAGTCTGCTACAAAGTCTGGCAAAAAGTACGGTGGATTCATGTTCTCATTTTTACCCTCCATCTTCATCTATTGTGTATCATTGTTGCTTATTTGTCCATAGGTCAAAAGCCCTTTTCTCACTGCTTGCATGAGACTGCATTTAAAACTATCTTCTATGGATTGGAAATGCCTTCGAAATTCAGCACAACTTACCATTCATTTACAATGTATTTTGTAGCTCAATTCTTAGAGCACAGTATAAATTGGAAGGATCAGTTCGCATATTGTTTAATTAAATTATTTTCATTACCATCACTAACAGATCTACTCTGACAGGTCTCTTAGTACATTCAAAATAACCCTTAATTCTTACAGCACTTAGGTGATTTTAGGTACATTTGGGAAGGATTCTCTGATGTGTTTATGACTTCACTGATTTGTTGAAAACTCTAGGGTGTTTTCCAGTGATGGGGTACAGGGCAGTTTCTGCCTTGATGGTAGACTGGGAACACTAACATATTTTCATCTTGGCCCTGATTTTAGAAGAAATCTCGCTGGTTAGGCCAGAACATTTTTCCTCTAGGTAATCACAACCGACAGAAGAATTTTCCTCTAAGTAGTCACACCGGACGGGAACAGCTCATTTCTGATCTGCAACCCAGAAATGCTTTCCACAGGAAGTTATAGTACAGTTTTTCCCAGGTTAGTGTTTCCTGCTTCTTGGTCCTCTTGCTTATTGGCTTTCTCGGAGGCCTGGAATGAAAAAGAGAAAGAAAAAACGGGAATTGCGGTATGGATCCTAGCAAATGCTGCCTTCCCCTTAGCAGCTGTGGCTGGAAAAGGTTTTGTTTCATATTCAGTGTGTGGGTGGGAGGGGGATGGTGCACCTTTGTTTATTTATTTTTTTAGATTTTTTTTTTTTTTACGATGCAGGCAGGCAGTTTTCCACTGCAGCCACAGATACATTCAACAATCAAGCTCCTGCAGAGAAGCAACTAGCATCTATTGTTTCAAAAAGAATTTGAGCAAAAAGGGCACTTTTTGCTCTTCCCAATCTGGGTGCCAAATGACAGGGTCCAATATTTATTTTTAGTTTCTATAAAAACTCAGAAAAACACATGAAAGAACCTAGCAGTGCATTCCTTAAAGGGCCTTATTGCTACACACACACACACACACACACACACACACACACACTCCCCTGTGTGCATGCCTCCCTTCCCCACCCTTGTGCAAAATCAGCGGCCACAGTAACTGAACCGAAACCCACTTCCCTGGACAGTGACACTTCCATAGGTCTTTCACCAAGCAACCGAATGACAGGAGCCACACAAGCTGCGCCCCTAGGGCACGGGCTCAGCTTGTGCCCAGCGTCTTGCCAAGCGCCTCGGTCTTAAGTAAAAGTTGTCTATGTTGTCAACCCAGGTCTGAGTTTGCACGAGAAACCAGGACAGCCTCAAGCCACGGGGGAAGCACGATCTGCTACCAAGTCCAGTGACCTGTAACCGAGGCCAGTCACGCGCGACCGGTTCTCTGCTCCACGCCGCCCTCCTCAGCTCTGGCTTTAACCAGGATTCTGATTTTGGGGAGAGCTGTTATTCACCGCAACCAACCCCTCGGAGGAGGTCGACTGTTAAGTTTCTCCTCGAAACGCTTTCTGTGCCCAATGTTCATAAATTAGGTGGCGTGGAGCGCGACAGGACTCCCCAACCCTCCGGACTGCGGCCCCCAGGTGTGGTCAGCGTGCGCAGGACAGGGGCAGATGGACAAAACAAGCCCCCTCTACCCTGTGGTTGGTTGCTGTCTTTGTCCGCGTATCCTCCTCCTTCTTGCGTGGCCGCGCACGCCCGAGTCTGGCCGGCAGGTGGCGTGGTTGGTTCACGCAGAGCCGCTTCAGAGGCTGGAAAGGGGCTCGCGGTTGCGGCGGTCGCGCTCCCACTGGGACCCAGGCTCGCGAGGGAAACCCGGCCCTGCTCTGGCGGGAACCGGAGAGCCGGCACCCCGGGAGGAGAAAGGGAGGCTCTTCGCTAGGAATCGGGGCCCCTTTATACCCTAGAGAAAATGCAGCGAGGTGCGTCGGGCTCAGGACCTCAGGAACCGGCCGTCGCCTCTCGGCGATCAGGTGGCTGCGCCCGCGACCCGAGTCTCAGGGTACAGATCTCGGTGGTGCTAGCACACCCGGGGGCGACCGTGACACCGCGACCCCAGGGCGGGAGCACCGGGCGGGTTTCTACGGTCCCGGGGCAATAGCGCCGTCCCAGCTGCGCGCTCAGGGAGCCGGGAGCGCAAGGTCTCCGCGCATGGTCGGGGCAGCTGCAGCCCCGCGCTCACTGCGCCCCCGCTTCTGTCCACTGCGCCCCGGAGTGGTATAGCGGGGTCCAGGCACTCCCCCCCGGCAAGCACACTGCTGCGTCCCTGAATCCCAGGCCGTCTCGGGACGCCTCGCTGCAGCGGGAGTCGTGGCCCAGACCCGGAGCTAGATGTTCGATGTGAACGCGGGAACCGTTTCAGGGGTGGGGAATCCCCATGCCAGAAAGTCACTCGTTTCGGCTCTGAGACAGCGACTGAGCCACGCGGCGGGCTGGGCGCTGAGCACGTCTGTGTCCCAGCTCTCTGGGTGACTGGAGAGCTGGAGAAGGAACGGGTACTCTAGCTATCAGAGTCCCCCCGAAAGCGCTGCAGACGGAGGAGCCCCGAGCAGGCACCGCGGGGGCCGGGCCGCAAGGGTGGCGCAGGCGGCGGGAGCCAGGGTGCGGCCGCAGCCGAGGCGGGAGGGTGGGCGCCACGCCTGGGACCCGCGGAAAGGAGTGGAGGGACAGAGCAACTTCGTCCCTCCGGCGTTTCTGTGAGAGCCTTTCTCGCCATCTCCAGCCTCCCGCTGGGGGCAGAGAAAGTGGACAGCATTTTCTAGGGCTCCCACAGTTAATTCAGAGTCATCGGACGCTCCCATTGCGGCCCGGGGACTCCATCCCTCAGTGGCGTCGGAGACCCGCAAGTTCGCCCGGGCGGGGGCGGGGACCCGGCGGAGCTCGCCCCCTCTAGCCTCGGGAGACCTGCGCCCCGCGGAGCTGGAGGGGCGGGGCCGGGGGCGGGCTCTGAGCGGGGGCGGGGCCGGGGCCACCCGTGTGCGTCCCCATTGGCCGCGGGCCTCGGACTGGCGGGCGCGCGTCACGGGCCGGGCCCACCCTCTTGGCAATGTCTTCAGCCTGCTGCACTCCTAACTTAAGCATTTATTCCACTGGGATAGAAGCGGTAGGATGGCAGCGTTGGCACGGCGAACCATGGCTGGGATTTTGTATTTCGTCTTCTTTTCGTGTCTCTTTGGGATTTGCGACGCTGTCACCGGTTCTAGAGTGTACCCCGCGAATGAAGGTAAGCTCGGGGCAGCCTTTCTTGGGTCAGCGCAGACAGGGCACGATCTGCGGCCCGCCGCGAGCGCGGGGTCGCCGGAGTGGGGAAGCCTGGCGTAAGCCTTGCGCCTAGACTCTAGGGAGGCTGCGGGGCCAGGGGGTGCGACGAGGGGTGGCGCAGGGCCTCGGGGCAGCCTGCCGCGAGGCGATGACCCGTGCGGGCAGCCGGCCTTCCCAAGTTTGTAGCGAAAGGCCAAAGTTTATCAGCATCTTCACGGAGGGCGGGCTGGAAGCGCCCCGAGGGGATGCATGGAGCCCAAGCCTCGACTTGAAAACCAAACAAAATCGGGCTCCGAGTCCTATATGCAGCCCTAGGCGAGGGGAGCGCGAGCTTGCCTCGCAGCGGAGGCTCAAGGCTCCGGGCTCTCTCGGAAGCCTTCGGAGCTCTGGTTTCTGCAAAGTTTCTCGAGCTCCGCGCTTCTCCGGACCTGGACCCCGGGTCTCAGCATCGCAGCGGCCGTGGCGCCGCTCGCGGTCGACAGTGACCTGATTTCTAGCCCGGCCGCAGACACCTTTCTGTGCTCCCAACCCCGCGCCTTTCGGAGCGATCGCCGGCCTAGGGCAGCCCCCAGCGCCTCGGATGGCCCCGTAAATCGGGAGCATCGATGGGCGAGTTGAACGTAGTGGAGTTTTCACATCTCGCCCCTAAAACAGTGCACTGGGCTAGTTTGGAGAGAAAGCGCGAGACGGACAGGATCCGCCTGGGTGCCGTTTGCTGTGCGTGTTTCCAGATGTGCAGAAAGGACTGTGTGTGTCTGTGTGTGTGTGGGGGGGGGTGCCCATTTAGTGTCTGGTAGGCCCAGAGATGTGTGTGTGCGTGTGACGTGCGTGTGCGTGTGTGTGATCCCGCGAGCGCGCGCGCAAGTGTATGTATGGTGCGAGTGCCTGCGTGGACGCGGACGGTGTGTGCCTGTGCGAGAGTGCTTGTGCGTGTGCGTGTCTCTCGGAGAACAGCTTCTGGTCTAACAGCGAGTGCGTGCAACCGCGACACTCTGCTGGACTCTTCCCTTCACCTCGTCCATTTGTCCATCTGTCCATCCGGCCCTCTGTCTCCCCCGGCATCTGTCTGTCCGTCCTAATATCTTTCCGTCCGTTCGTCCGTCCATCGGTCCGTCAGTCTGTCTCTCTCCCCAGCCATCTGTCCATTCATCCACCCACCCCTATGTGCGGTCTATCATTTTTCCTGTTCCGAAGGAGGGAGCCAGAAACCAACTTAGCCTCTGCTGGCCAGGCGGTACCCAGAGCGGAGGCTCCGAGGCCGCCGCGTACACCTGCCCGTTGACACTGCTCAAGGGGAAAGGGGCGCTCTACCGCCCTCTCCTCGGACCTCCCCCTCCTTCGTAGCTGGGTTCGGTTACGGTCTGCGCCGCCGCCGCCGCCTAATCTCCAGGGTCATTCCCGGGGGGAGTCGTGGATCCCGCGTCCTCCTGGATACTTCGCGCACTTGTTAGGACGTTTCCTAAACCCCTCTCGCCCCAGACGTAAACGTTTTCTTTTCTCCCTCCGCCCTTCTTTCTTTGGCTTCTTTTTGCATATTCTTTTAGAAGCAAAACTTGGAAACGCAAGACAAAAAGGAACTGGGGTTGAAGAGGGGGACCTACACCCCTCCGCAGCCCCTCCTTCCCTTAAAAATTAATTCGTTTTGTTGCTTTTTATTCCCATCACGTTTCCTTTGCTCCCTTTTACCCTCCCTTTCTACTCCCTCCCTTTTTTTGTAAATTGGGTCTTATTGTTCCCTTTGTGTCCCTAATCCACCTTACATAAATCCAAATGGTTGTAGCGGGCTTTTCTCTGGGGATAGAGAGGGAAGAATGAGGAGGGGGCGCAACTCGGGGCGGGAGCCGACTCAGGAAGACTCAACATTTTAAAATAATTAACAGACCCCAGGAATTCAGGCTCCCCAGGAGAATCGGGGTCGGGGGGGGGGAGGGCTGAGTTCTTACAGTCTGGACTTGCGGGGTGTGCAATAAGAGGACACATGGGCAGAATTCGGGGTCTGGGAGTGAGACCGAAGGTTGGGGTGCACTGGAACAAGGATAGAGTCATTGCATTCCCACCCCTCCCCCAGCTTGAAGGACCAGCCTCGCGGATCAAATTAATAACCCAGTGAATCCTTTGAGGTGGGCCTTTCGACCTCCAGGCCTGCAGATCACGGTGGGAAACTGAATGTGAAGAGGTTTGGAATTCGTCGCGTCCTTTGCAGTGTCGTCAGTACCTAGCCCTGTTCCGGCAGGAGCGGGGTACTGCTGCGCTGCGCGCTCTTCTCTCCTCATCCCCCTAAGCTGAGGCACACTCTTCCGTGTAGCACAAGCATCCCGAATCCGCGAGCCCTGCGCACCTAAAATTCAAACCAGTGCTTTCCTGGGGGGCGGGGGAGGCGGGAAGGACGAGTCGCCGATTGTCCTCTAAAAGACCTGGGAACGACAGAATACTTGAATGCTTTCACATTCTAATTCCACTCGTCTGGCGCCCCTCCCCACACTCCTCGGTTCTGAAACTTTGATTTTTTTTTTTTTTTTTTTTAAAGCAGCGGATACCACATACAGGGACTATTTATTTGGTGGCGAAGAGGAAATATGTTAGGGGAGAGAGCTTTTTCCCTGACCCTTTGGACGCTCAGATAGAATTCGCTTGCGCTTCTGAAACTTGCACAAACAAATACTTCTGGCAGATCCCAGACAGAGATGAATGCAGATTTGGCTGTCAAGTGTTATTGCCCTGCATTAATATATATATTTTTGAATTGCACCTGAGATTCTCTATTCATCCTCTTTAGAAAGTAAGTCAGCTGAAGCCTAGGATGGAATTTTAAATGCTAAGCAAGTAAAATAAATAAGAACCTGCAGTTTTAAAGAGGAGAGAGGATCAAGTGAGTGATGATTATTTACATAAGTGAGACCAAGTTTAGGTTTTGATCAGAGTTGGATATGCACACCCTCCACACATATGGAAACGCTCAGGCAAATGGTTTTCGTATTATTGGCTTTTTCCAATTGGAAATTAATCTATTTTCCTTTGTTTTTTTGCAGTTACTTTATTGGATTCCAGATCTGTTCAGGGAGAACTTGGGTGGATAGCAAGCCCTCTGGAAGGAGGGGTAAGTTCTGAATTGCTTTCTAATGCAAAGGGTAAAAAAGGAGTGATTAGCAACTTTCAGAGAGTCCTAATGGCTTGATTCTTGGTGATTGTGGTGAACGGGTCAGATTTCCACTGTGGCCTATGAAGTGAATTACGCTTTGTTGGGGAAATCCTATACTCCCTTTGGTTGGCTCTGTCATGGAAGAACTAGAAACCAAAGGGCCAGAAACGGGTTTCAAAATTAGGCGACTGGTGCAGGTATAGATTTAGATGCCTATTTAGAACTAAAATACCAACAAGAAATATGATCTGGGGACCAAATTAGAATTTATGCCTATTACGGTGATGGTCATGAAGCCCTGACGGGGTTAATTTTAGAGCAATTATTCTGCTTCCAGAGGAGGAAAGTACATAAACAAAGATAACAGAAAGAAAACACTTCTGATTGTACCTGTAGAAGCAGGATCCTTGGCTTGCTGCTGTCAAAACCTTAGATCAGCTGCTGGGCAGGCTGAGAGAAAGCCCGGTGGGATCATATTAGGGTGTGCTATGTGCAGAAAACCCACCAGCTTGTGCCTCGTTTGTGAAATATGAACACTTTTAGGTATTTGGAACGAAGATCGCTGGAGCTTGGGAAACTATCCCTCCCTGCTCATTTTTTCTCAAGTTTTGTAGCTCTGCCTTCTTCAGAGGTTTCAGAGAACCTGCTAGGTACTGGTCACATTCTCCCAAACCTTCTCCCCAGTCTCCAAGAGCAAGCCAGGATGAGTCAGCTCTGGGAAGAAATCTTGACTTCTACCAAATTGGAATAATTCTTACGTCTTTCAAAATTAAGCAGATCATCTGACCTTCACGCATTTGATAACTTATGACTCAGTCTTTATCTGGCAAACATTGCAGTGTTCACACCCAGCCTGGAACTCCACATCCAGCAGTTGAAACAACGAAAAAGGAGTTTAAAAGCAAAAATGCACAGGAACTGTTAAGTAGATATTTCCAAAATAAGATCCAGGCAAGAAAAGAATGATTTTAAAAAATGAAGAGTCAAAGCAGGTCCTGGAATCTTATCAGAAATAAAACAGATTGCAATGCCTTCTTGCTCTTTTTCTATCTGAACTTGACTGCTGTTGTTGTTTGGGACCTCATTGAAAAATTCTAATCTCTGCCCCAAACCATTTTTTCAAGGGGAGGGAGCGTGATTGGCAGGCCTCTGGCAGTGTAGACAGGCTGCATTCACCACTGATTGCAGGCAATTGCCCTCATCCTTTGAATGTGAAGAAAGGTGCAGCTTTATCTTAGTGAGAGTCAGACTCATTGTTAATCCTACACCCTGGAAAGGTCACGGTTTCAGGCGGGGCTTTCCCAGGCTGCACCAGGAGGCTTTCTCTATGGGTTAAAATGTAGTGCTGGTTCTAGCCTAACTGAAGGTGGAAACTATCTGTATTGTATTAATACATTTAATGAGTCCTGTTCTTCCTATTGGCTGCTTTTAAATTTGAAGAGATTTTGTATGATTTTGAACCAATTAATTTCACTAAACATACAAATGATTTACTTGAGAGTACTGTCTATGGCCTATCTAGTTTCTAGAAAGGTTTTACTGCAATTTAATATGCTACAGACATCTTTTTTTTTCTTCCTTTTTTTTTTTTTTTTTTAAATTGCCTGTCCAGAATTGCTAGAAGAACGCCTGGTCACTTTCTCCAGACCTGAAACTTTTTTCAATTGTCATGAGAGTTATTAAAGAAATACTATGTCTAGTTTATAGTATACAGCCCAGAGCTTACTTTGGGCTGATATAGGCAGTTTTTTCTTTTATTGTGTATGAGGCATATAACATTTTAAGTATTGTTATAAAAGGTTAGAAGTGATCTTTTACTAGTGTACAACTGAATTAGTCATCCCGAAAACCCAGCTGCCATTGAGAAATTGTGTGTGAAATTATATAAAATGTAATTAATGCCTACATACCATTGAAGAAGACTTTGTAGCCTTAAAAGTGTAGGGGTGAACTGGGTGTCTACCAACTTGGCATGCATGGATTGTCTTTCAAAACTTCTTCCTCCTTTGGGATAAAAACATTCACTCGTTTGCTAGTCTAAAATCTCTAACTGTTATTAGAACATTTCACATAATTGTTAGAAACTTAGGGGAGCTGGGTGATAGGAACATTTAGTTTTTGTTGCTGGGGTTACTTTTAAAAAGAAACCCAATTTCACAACGCCAACCAGTAAAATGAGAGGCAGCATCCAGACAGACAACTCACAGTCCCCAAGAGCAATTCTGTCAAACACCAGCAACTGGAAGTGATGGTTCCTGATGGTGTAACATTGTAGCAAAAAAGAAAAACAAAAAAAGCTGATATCCTGGTGATGTGCATTTGAAGGAGTCTGTACTGATGCTGACATAGGAGGGAAGATATGCATTGCTTTTTCTTGTGAGTTGACTGTGTTTCGACAAGGTTAGAAAGGTCATACTACTGTATGAAATCTGTGCTGATACCTCTGCTTGCATTTGCACTGATAAATGTGTTTTCCCATTTTCCCTTTGTTCTGGGACGCTGAATCAGTCTTTTTGAAGGTAGAGATCTATTTTTGGATGTACATGAATTTCCCCAAATAAGTAAATTACTGATGATTTATTGCTTGCTAGATAAAAGAAAATTTTAATCACCACAGGGGACTTACTCCTCCCACTCCCAACTTTCATAATGGTAGCAGATGAAAGGAATCCAGAAGAGTTTATGCATTATGGCCCTTCACATAGTAACCTTTCCATTCATTAATAGTTTTCCAATGTGCAGATGGGAAACCTGTTTAAAGATACATTATGATTCTATATACTTCCCTTGGATTGAATGGCACTTAAGTGGCGCTATTGCAGAACACAAATTTTATAAAACCATCTTTTTTTTTCCTTTAATTATATTCATGTGTTAGGTACTTATGCTGATTTACACCAGATCTATATCAATACATTACTGTACAAGTTAATGAAGAACTGGAACCTGCCTACCAAGCTGTCTTGCTGCTTTTAGGATTATTTTTAAAAGCAGTGGAGGGAGTAAAGTTGCCACTTCAGTCACAGTGGATTCTACCATTAGAATTTTTGTGTTAGAAAACAGAATAAAAGGAAAACACCGCTGACCTCCTTTAATTGTTTGGGGCTTTCAATCATCAACTCCACTTACTATTTTATATTTGTTATCCACTGAATAGATGGAGCCACTTAGGTGTTTTTAAGAAGGCATACAAAGTTTCTAATTACACATGTGCTCTTGAAATTTTCTACTCCTGAATGTACTGGAGAAACCTAATCAAAAAATTTGCCATCTTCCTAGGATTACAGAAATAGGAATGGTGCATTTTCTTTGCCCCTTTTAAAGAATGGTATGATGCCAAAAAAACTAGTTGACTTTTTTTTCTTTTAAGGTATTAGAAAGAAAAGTTCTGACAGGAGCACCACTAATTAACTGATAATTGTCTTCCTTTGGCAAGCTCCCCTCTTCCTGCCCTTAATTTGCTGATCTTTGTTCAGTGTTTGAAACAATACATATACTAGTTTTTTTACATGTATGAGCAAACTTGAACAGTTGCCACCTGAAATTGTAGCTGTTGTAATAGGTGAATTTGAGGTTGTTAGACCACCTCTAGGAACTCCTGAGAACTCAGCAGCAATAAATTCACAATTGCTTCTGGATTTTAGGCAGACAAATGAAGCAATCAAAAAAAAAAAAAAAAACACAACTTCCTCAATAAAATGTTGCTTGATCTCTTATAAGACGCATTACTCATGAGAATTGATACATAGTCATTTTCTTCAAAAAAAAAATAATTGATACTCCATGTGAGTAAAATAGACTAGAGTAACAGGATTGACAAATCGTATAACTTGGCCATTGATACATTTTCACTGGATCTTTGCAGTGGGAGGAAGTGAGTATTATGGATGAAAAAAACACACCAATCCGAACCTACCAAGTGTGCAACGTGATGGAACCGAGCCAGAATAACTGGCTGCGAACTGATTGGATCACCCGAGAAGGGGCTCAGAGGGTGTACATCGAGATTAAGTTCACCTTGCGGGACTGTAATAGTCTCCCGGGAGTTATGGGGACTTGTAAGGAGACATTTAACCTGTACTACTACGAGTCAGACAACGACAGGGAACGCTTCATCCGAGAGAGCCAGTTTGCTAAGATCGACACCATTGCTGCCGACGAGAGCTTCACCCAAGTGGACATTGGCGACAGAATCATGAAGCTCAACACTGAGATCCGGGATGTTGGGCCTCTGAGCAAGAAGGGGTTTTACCTGGCTTTTCAAGATGTGGGCGCCTGCATTGCCCTGGTGTCCGTCCGTGTGTTCTATAAGAAATGTCCACTCACCGTGCGCAATCTGGCCCAGTTTCCAGACACCATCACAGGGGCTGATACCTCCTCCCTGGTGGAGGTTCGAGGATCTTGTGTCAACAACTCGGAAGAGAAGGATGTGCCAAAAATGTACTGTGGGGCAGATGGTGAATGGCTGGTCCCCATTGGCAACTGCCTATGCAATGCTGGCCATGAAGAGCAGAATGGAGAATGCCAAGGTAAGAGGAGCCATATTGTACTTTTCATTAGGGCTTAGTGCACGTAATTAAATCAGAGATGAGACTAAATGGAGTAAAGCCAGTAATTAGCAGCTCCTGTGGGATGTGATGGGACAGAGGGGTCTAATGAGTAAGTGCTATAGCTCCAGGTGGCAAGGCTGGGACTTTTCTAGCACTGACAACATAAATGATGCTGCTGTAATCAGCTGAAGGCCAAGCACATTTGCTAACAGGCACTTAGTCTGCGCCTGCTTGATGCAGCCTCTGAAATGTAAATGAACAGAGAAATAGGCTTGATTGATCCAGTCTTAAGGAGGCGGACACATTTTCTGAGCCATAGTTTTCCTAGGTATAGACTGGGTAAAATGACAAAGATGGTGAATATCTTTCAGGTTAAGCATATGTGCATGAATTATTTAAGTGTGAAATCAGTATTGTGTTCCAGTTCCCTGCCACTGATTAAAATCAAGCTTCATAAATAAGGTTCTTTTTTCCCCTTACCTGTGGGCCAGTGGAGCAGAAACCTTTCGAGAACATTCTCTTCCACAGAACACTCGTTGACAGGTCTCTGAGCAAAATCAATCTTAACGAAAGCTCTCTTTATATCTCTTAGGAGACGATAATAGAGTTTGTAAGAGTCTTATTTGATCGGTGGTCAGAGGCAATAGTAAATTGCAATCAATTTTGGTTATTGAGTTTTTGAGAAAAATAATGTACTTTTATCATTGTTAATTACAGCTTATCATATTACTAAGGTGATTTTTTTTTCTCACCTCAAGTTTAGTGTATGCGATTCACTCCTGCTTATTTCCCCCTTTCTATCAGAATGCTGGGAGATCTTTACTTCACAGCAGTTTGGTATCTGAGTCGGGGGTAAGAGTATCCATATTTACATGGATGGCTCATGGATGTGTGCCTTAAGTCTTAAAAAGTCAACTACCCCAAGTCTTTGTCATGCTTGCTTTTTACTTTTAGTTGTTATCAATGACCCCTTGCTGCCCACCCCGTTATGGTATTTGTGTTCTCCTGGTGATTGTTGAGCTATTGTTGAGCGTCACCACAGGGTTCACCTGATTTGGTGATTAAAGGGACTGAAATAACTGACTGACAAACAATTTGTCTGGCATTTCAACCATCTTAATGACAGGGTGGGGTTAACTCTGGGCCCCTGCACTTGATTGACGGGGAGTCAGCAGTCATAACCCAAAGAAAATTGCATTCTGGGTAATTGGGCATGATAAAGTTATGTGCTTCCCCTTTCATAGTTTGTATTTTTCCCAAGGGCCATTACTAATCTGCTGTTATTTGTAGGAGTAAATCATGCTGACTGTCCTTAATTCCCCTGCAAATTAAATAGAATAAGGACTGGCTGTCTTTTTCTCTTAAAAAGAAGAAGGAAGAACTTGTAAACTTAAATATGCATGAATTGCAGTAAGTTTTTTATAAAGGTTGACTTTCTGCTGTTCTGTTTACTTTTGACTGAGCAACTACCTGATAGGCCGTACCGATGAATTGCACCCTGAAGTGTATTCTGCTATTAGCATTGGAAAGTACATGAGGGCATTGTTATTGGCAGCTAGATTACAATGATCATAGCAGGAATGGTGAGATGCACAAGGCAGTGACACTGCACTGCAGTGTAGAGTAAATTATTCTGCCTTTCCGGGTTGTGTAAGACAAGACTTGCACATCTTCACATGTCAGGGTTCTTACAGGTATTACACACACACATGCGAGGTTTCATTTCCTGCTGAAATGTTCATTCATCTAGCATGAGCTCAGCTCTCTGTATCGGATGCCATTGATTTTCAGTGGTCATAGAGCCCAGTAACTCATACATTGCTAGGTTGTGCAATTCCTTGACGTTTTTACAGCCCAAATTAGGAGAAAAAGAGGAAAAGATGCAGGGCAAAGTGAATGTAAAGGCAATTGAACATTTTAGTGGCCTACTTTATGGAAATAAACTCCGGACTCCGGACTCCAGACTCCAGACTCCCATTCATCGTGTGGTCCTTGGGAGGGGAGGGACTTGATGATTGACATCCTGTCTGTTTCGGGGCAACCTGTACCGAGCTGTGAATGGAAGGGCAAAATAGAATGAGCCAGTTTTTGAGAAATTTCAGTGTTTTCATACATGCAGCCAAGGGTTTTCCTAGAATTTGTTTTTCTCATAAAAGAATTAGTTACTTTATGGAGAAACTTTTTTGCACAGGACACTGCAACCTACTTAGTTTTATTTCTACCAAGTAAGAACATCTGAATTTATGAAAAAAAGGAAAAACTTGAATGACAAGGAGTCTTAAATTTCAACCTTGAAAAAGATATTGCAAACACCATAAAATCCCAAATAGCAGTAGAAGTACCCAGGCATAGCAGAAAGAACTGGAGACAAGGAAATCTATCTCAATTTAGTCACACAGCTGCATGCCTTTGGACACATTTCTTAAACCTTTTTGAGCTTTGGTCTGCTCATCTATAAAATGGGTTGAGAAAAGTATTACTTAACTCACAGACTTCCTATGAGACTTAGTGATTGAATATTGTTAAAAGTCACCTTGTAGATGCAACACGAGTGGATGTAGATTTCTTTGATCACCTGCCCATGTCAAAGTCATAGCTGTTGATATTAGGGTTCCTGAATTGAAACAATAAAAGAAAATGATCTTTCAGCTACTCTCCAAAGTCAAGGCTAGGAAAGGAAGCATAGCATCTGTGTCCATTGCTCTAACAAAGAATGAAGACCATCTTCACACTTCATATTGAAAATGATATTTGGGAAGTGTCTGCCTTCCTCCTCCCACAAGAAAGAGAACTTTGCTTTGAATGAGAGACAAGTGCTTTGGGAATGAAACAAAGAGTGTATGAAGGCAGCTTAGGAAGGAATGTGGAGGAGAATGGGCTCGGTCTTAGAACTCTGGCAGCAGGTTCCTCCCCATTGTCTTTTCAATGAGTCTGCTGTGGCAGGACGAATAGAAGGACAGGTGAAAGGTCATCTACTTCCTCATCCATCTTCCTTGAGGTCTGGGAGGTCAGAGTGAAGATTGATTAAGATCTTAAATGTTTGACAAAGGATCCTTGGATAAAAAAGGGCAGGGCAAGCTGGGGCCTGAGGTCTGCTGTTGTTTAAATCTAACCCTGGTCGTCCACCAGAGTCATCAAGGGACCTTGGGGACAGAACTACACTTCCTCTTGGAGTTGCACTGCCCGGTGGTACATGCCAATGTGAAGCCTGGAAGGTGTCAAGAGTGTGGCAAGATGGTGCACTGGCCACTGCTGGTCCCTGCTGGTGCCTGCTGGCCCCTCCTGGCCCCTTCTGCAGCTGCAAGTTCATTGCATGCTTCAATAGCATTTTCTGAAATGATTAGCTTTGGTCTCCTTAGGACAATGAAGCATATTAGCCACTTGTCTGGCCTCTTCCAGAGCCTGTGTGACCAGGTGCAGAGGGCACCCGAACCCTGCTGGGATGGACACCAGGCTTGGTCAGACTGTCAAAGGAAAGAAATAAGACCCAGCCTGCACTCGGCTTCAGTGCACCTGTGAATGAGGAAATGTGCCTGAGCGAGGTGGGCTCTGGTCCTTACTGCGCAGACAGTAAGCTGAACAAACAGAGGGACTATCTTACTTCAAAACCTTCATAAGTGGAAAAGAGGCCTACACTTATTCTGAGGGGGACAGTAAGAAGCAGTATTTTGAGAAAGCCTATATATATAAATAATGCTAGCAAAAGGAAAACACTCCTTTAACAGGTTTATTCTAGAGGCCAAAGAATCCTACCTGTGACAAGATTAAGCTAAGCAGGAATCAAGAATTGCTAAAAGACGTAAATGTGACTGTTGTGGTTCAGTGCATCAGACCATTAAGTGTTCAGCCTCCAGCATCACATCAGAAAAAAAAAATTGTGTACATACACATGCACACATATGTAATTTTACATCAATGATCATCTAGGACTTGTATTGAATACTACATCTAGAGTGTGTTCATATCAGCAAAAGGAATCTTATTAAAAGCTCTGTTAAGAAAGCAAGACAGAAATGACAAGGTGACTACAGAATTTTTAAAAAATTAACTTTCTACTTTGAAAAAGGAGAAGGACCTCTGTCAAAAGAGAGGACTTTGTTTTCCTAAAATACTGTAAAAGGACCATAGGAGAAAGACACGACGCAAAGGAAGCGTTTAAAATATAAAGTTCAGAGAGATGCTGTTTTATATCCTCTCCACTTTTGAAATTCTTCTGCCTTTGAATCGTGTCTTTAAGAATCAATTGCTTGAATCGCAGGGCTGCTTTTATCTGCAGCTTTGAAGCATGGCTGTGATCACTGAATAACGTAATTCTTTATCTATGAGAAGAGCAGAGTTTAATTATTGTCCTTTTTCCTGTTGTACTTTTTTTTTTTCTTCTTTGTGTGACCAGGCTTCTTTTGTGAGTGTGAATCCTGCAATGGTCTCTATTTTGGGTTCACCAAAGCCTCACATACGAATTATCTCAGTTAAGGAGTTTTGAAACAGGGTATTTAAGATTTGATGACTTATTTTAGTCCAACTGAGCATCCATGTACCTTTCAAAAATGAATTAAGACATAATTATTCTGTTAATACTTGAGCCTTTAGGAAAAATGCTGATTAAATGGTTTTTCAGTTACTACCGAGCAGAGGTGGGCTTGATACAAGTTTGACATTCACAGCATTGAACTTCAGCGCTCAATCTTTCTTTCTTTTTTTTTTTTTTTTTTTCATTCAATTGATGGACTTAATATTGCCCAAGAAATGCATGCTTTTGAGAAAAATTTCCAAAGCAGAACTGTAGAAAGTAAAAAGAGATTTCTTCAACTTCCTACATGTACAGAATATGGAGTTTTTCAAACTCTCAGACTTTTTATGAGTTAGCATTTTTTTTTTTTTTTTTTTTGCATTTTGGCACGTAACCCAAATGTACTCATGTATATACATATTTTTTTAAAAAGGGAGAGAGTTTACCTCTTGTCATCTTTCTTTTATGA